CTATCCAAAGGCAGGCTGCATGCGGGTATGTAAAACAGGTATAACGATCGTTAGCAGAGACCACCTGGGTATTCCCTTGTGTGCAGAGCCTCTTGCCTCCTTGGTGTTCCCTCTTGTGATGAGTTCGATAGTCCGGTTCTCTAAGGGGGATGCCCGAAAGTAGGGTCCTGAAAGAAAGAAAGGAAAAAGGGATGTGCGGGCCGCGTGGCGGCTGAACCGCACTGTAGGCCGCATCGTCGGCTCGCCTCCACCTATGCCCATGGTATTTTGAGTGCGTAGTTATGCACGCGTGGCACAACTGCCGCCTGACTGGGGCTGGGGCAGAGGCCGGATTGCTAATCGAGCTCTTGGCGTGCCTGACGATCCTATTGCGGGGTGCTCCGAACCCGCTTGACGGTGTTCAAGGTTGTCATCGCCGAATTGGCTGTCTGTCGAAGGAGGTTGCTTTGTACTTCTGCCTCGAGGGCCGCAGTGTGCTCTTCTGTACGGAGGGAGCGGTCTATGTTTCCATTGACTGTTATAACCCCGCGAGGTCCTGGCATCTTGTACTTCTGCCTCGAGGGCCGCAGTGGGGTACCGCATTGAATCGAGCGAACGCAGTTCGTCCAAGTAGCGCATGATAGCCACTACCGAAAGCGACGATATCGAAGATTAACTCCTCGCTTCGGAAGTTATCCGGAGATCCGAAGACCACTTCCAGTGTTATTGAGCCCGTACAGCGGGCCTCTACCCCTGAAATTACACCTTTAAAGGTGGTTTTGGTGGGTTTGATCCGTGAGGGATCGATGCCTATTTTGTGCACTGTGTCCTGATAAAGCAGGTTCAGGCTGCTGCCACCGTCCATAAGGACTCACGTGAGGTGGAATCCGTCGATGATTGGATCAAGGACCAATGTGGCTGAGCCGCCGTGACGGATGCTGATAGGATGGTCCCTACGATCGAAGGTGATCAGACAGATGACCATGGGTTGAACTTTGGGGCGACTGGCTCCACCGCATAGACGTCCCTCAGTGCACGCTTTCGTTCCCGTTTGGGAATGTGGGTGGCATAGATCATATTTACCGTTTTCACCTGGGGGGGAATTTCTTCTGTCCCCCAGTGTTCGGACGCCGGGGCTCCTCGTCATCGTCGATGTGCAACCCCTTGTCCTTGCTTTCGGCATTCAACTTGTCGGCTTGTTTGAACACCCAGCAATCTCTGTTAGTGTGATTGGCTGGTTTGTCGGGGGTGCCATGAATCTGGCACGAGCGGTCGAGTATGCGGTCCAGACTGGACGATCCCGGATTGTTTCCTTTGAACGGATTTTTTTGTTGACCGGATTTTGAGTTGCTGAATCCGGCATTGACTGCTGTGTCTTCGGCGTTGTCACCGTTATTCCGGCGCTTATGTCTATTGCGCCGTGGCTTTCCGTTAATGTCGCGGACATCTAAAGTGCCGGAGTTTCTTGGCGTGGTGCTACTGCGAGCCAGCCAGCTGTCCTCGCCCGTGCAAAAGCGGGTCATGAGTGTCCTGAGGGCCGCCATGGACTTCGGTTTTTCTTGGCCGAGGTGTCGGGCGAGCCACTCGTCGCGGATATTATGCTTAAAGGCCGCCAGGGCCTCGGCGTCCGGACAGTCGACAATTTGGTTCTTTTTAGTTAGGAACTGAGTCCAGAATTTCATGGCTGACTCTCCGGGCTGTTGGGTAATGTGACTTAAGTCATCAGCATCTAGTGGTCGCACGTAAGTGCCTTGGAAGTTGTCGAGGAATGCATCCTCAAGATTTTCCCAGCTGCCGATGGAGTTCGCCGGCAGGCTATTCAGCCAATGTCTGGCTGGTCCTTTGAGTTTAAGGGGAAGGTACTTGATGGCGTGTAGGTCATCACCGCGTGCCATGTGAATGTGGAGAAGAAAATCTCCGATCCACACCGGGGGGTCTGTTGTGCCATCGTATGACTCGATGTTTACGGGTTTAAACCCTTCTGGGAATTCGTGATCCATTACTTCATCAGTGAAGCAAAGGGGGTGTGCGGCGCCTCTTTGTCGGGCTATGTCACGACGTAGTCCGACTAAGTCTGGTCGGTTATGTTCGGCCCGACCGGACTTATTATTAGTGTATCCGGCATGACGATCATCGTCATGTGCTGTGGCGCGCCCCCGTGATCCATAGATTGATCTTGGTTGTCCTGCGTTGTTTTCCAATATGTCTCGCAGGTCCTGGGTATTGCCCCGGGCCGTAGTGAACTGGCGTGGGGGTGCGGGCTGGTATTCGGTCTGATATGTCGTTTTATCCCGGCCACGAGGTGGCCGGTCAGCCTCGTCTTGTGCTAGTAGTGTAGGTTCTACGGCCTCTTCCTCTAGTTGAGGTAGCAATTTTTGCTTTGGGTAACCTTTGGTTGGGCGCTCGAGTCCGTATTCCTCGGCTGCCAGGACCTCGGTCCAAGGCGTGTGGTGGCGCAATCGATCTGGGATCTGCGGCGCGGCGGATGGCTACAGCAGGCGGCGGGAGGCCGACCCGTCCTCGAACGACGACGGCTTGGCGCAACGGGCGGCCCAGTCACAAGCGGCGGCCAGGGCTGCGGGCGCTGCGGATGGCCCTTCGGGCGTCGGCAGTGGCTGCGGTCGGTGGCGGCCGGCTTGGCTGCGGTGGCATGCATGCTGCCTTCAGATCGGCAACGGCAGCGTGGAGCGCGTGGTGATCTCGTTGGCGGCACCTCCGATCAGATTTGTTCTGACCGGTGCAGCCGACGGTGGTGGTCATCTCTCCCGTCAGAGGTGGTCGGCCTGAGGCTTGGTGTTCGGATCTCGGGATCCGTCATCTGGCACCAGCTGCGAGTCGGGGAGACGTAGTTGCCGGTGAAAACCAAGCCGACAGCGGGCGATGGCGGCGTTCCACATCGTTACCTTGATAAAGGCATCGTCATGTGACTACCGTCGACCCACTCGTACTGCTCCGGGGAGAACCCTAGGATCTGGTGTTCCAGACCGGACGATGGCGGCACTGCGGTGTCGTTTCTCTCTTGGGAGTATCGTTTGTGGAGCAGCGCTGGAAGTCAGAGGCAGGAGGTGGAGCGGCTTCATCTTGCACGGAGCTTCGGTGGAGATGTCAACTCATGCCTGACCGACAGGTGCTACGCTTGGTCATGCCTGGTCAGCAGGTGCTACGCACGACAGATCCGCCAAGGACTTAAAGCTGTGTCGGCTAGTGGTACTTGGCAGCAAGGCGCCGAGGTGTATCAGTGGCGACCGCGACGTGATCAGCTGTTTGCGCGCAGGGAGGAGGTGCCGTTGGGCGCCGTGGTGGCGTCGACGATAGCTGGACCGAGCAAGGTTGATGCATCAGTATAGTTCTGAAGATGGAGCGGTGGCAGTTGGCGGCGGTGGCCTCTGAGAGCACGCCGGACCAGTGTGTGCCCCAGACCCGGCAAGTGGCTAGGGTGGGGTCCCAGGTCTTAGATGTTAGGCTTGGTTGCGATGTCTGTTTGGTATTAGGCCCAGGCTATCTGCGCCCCTTCATCAACTGGATAGATGTAGCGACAGTTTGTTGCTTAGACGGCGGCTTTAGTCTTATTGTTATATGACTTTGTAAGGTCTTGTGAGAATAATTAATAAAGTGGTTGTATGCATCGCCCAGATGCAGAGACCGGGGGTCATCCTCCTTTTCTAGAAAAAACTAATTGATCTTATAAAAAAATCTTATTAATTAATCCATTCATTCTACAATGTAGTGCACTTGCGCTTTCCGAGATTCAAGTTTGACCGTAAATTTAACCAACGAGATCAATTGCGGCGGGAACAAAAATTATACCACTAAATTATATCAAAAATACGAATTCAGTGGTATAATTTTTACTCCCGCCGCAGTCGATCTTGTTGGTTAAATTTACGGTCAAATTTGGATCTCGAGAAATGTGGCCGCACTATATTGTGGAATGAAGAGAGTAATGGATAGAGCTATAAGAGAACCGGTTTCATAAAATCATACGAGGGTGATGTCCAAAATGGTCAGAGGCATTTATCTGATTTTAGAGTTTATATAATAACTAATTGTTGAGAAGCCAAATATTTATTTTCTTTCTTTAAGAACACCTAAATCTAGTGTGTAATTTCTGCAACAT